CAAGAGTGAGTTAGGAGAGTTGGTGATCTCTTGGACAAATCACCGAAGGTGCCAAGATAGGTTCATCACGAGCAGGAAGGAACAAGGGAAAACAGGAGGTTTTCCCCGTGGACCGACCCGTGACGAGATCCTATTCCCGGGCCCTCAACAAAATGAGTCTGCAAAGGCTCGCTTTTGAGTCAAAAACACTAACCTATGAGAGGTAGTGGTTATTCGGTATTCATGTCCCAAGGACATTGAAGCAATGGAGTTGTATGACCATTTGAGTGTTTCTTGGTGTCTCGAAAGCCCAAGGTTGATGGCGTTACCCACTAAGCCCAAGGTTGTATCTCTTTTTAGGTAGTACCTACCTTCTGTTGACCAATGTGTGTCAACTAAATATGTTCATGAAGGCATTTTACATGTATGATTGTAAGTGCTGCCTTTCTGGAGTACTTTTACCACTTGTTTTTCCATTCAAATTTGCAATTTGTATTTAATACATCTGTAAATAACAATGGAGCTTTATCAACATAGAATGTATTATAATGGTTTCCTTAAGCTGTGATCAGTTCACGGACTGAGTTCTTATTGATTTTATCCAAAGAAAGAGCAGTGAACTCATACAAGATTACTCTGAACTCATCTCCTGTGAGAGTTTCCTTCTCTAAAAGCACATCTACTAGCTTGTCGATTGCTTCTCGATTATTCCTTATGTGGCTCTTTGCGATTTCATATGCGCTTTCAATAATATGTCTTACTGAGGTATCAATATCCTCTGCAAGTTTTTCTGACATGGAATTTCTAGCTAGCATTCTTAGTATCACATCACTGCTTTGTACTGATGGATCAGTCAATGCCCATGGTCCAATCTCAGACATTCCAAATGTGGTTACCATCTGGTGGGTAAAGAAAAAAATAAAAGTATTAGCTAAGTGCACAAGAATGACTTTTGGTCTTCTTACATAATTTAGAACATGGTTTACTTTTTATAAACTTACTTGTCTTGCTATCTGAGTGATCTGTTGCAAATCTCCTGCTGCACCTGTGGTAACCTCTGGTTCCCCAAAAATTACTTCCTCTGCTGCATGGCCTCCGAGACCTCCTACTATTCTAGCAAAAAGTTGCTGCTTAGATACAAGAGCTGGATCTTCCCCAGGTATGAACCAAGTAAGACCCCGTGCTTGCCCCCGAGGAATAAGAGTTACTTTTTGTACTGGGTCATGCCCTGGAGTTAATGTCCTGTATGTGACAGTTAGGGCAAGTTAGTTGGTCTTCCTTGTCATTGAGGCTCAGTTTGGGAAGAGTAATACAAATATGTACAGTGCAAATACAAGGTTTTGTACTGAACATATTTGTATTTACACTCTTTCCAAACTGAGCTAGGGTTTATTAATTCTTCCTTCTTGTTAAGCTTGTCATCTAAACTTACTGATCTGGATAGATTACATGATTAATTTAGTTTTTATAAAACATGCTAATACGTCAATTTTCATATTTAGAGTTAAACATTTTTTTTTTTTTTTGCTTTCAAGAACAGACTATGCAGGATACTTACCAATCACCAACTTGCTCTATACCTGTTATCTTTTGCTAATATGGCTATGACATTATGTTTACTGTTTTATAGAGGATGTTTAATGTTCTTGTGTGACTTTATATTATATGGATGGAGATAGGGTTGGTGAAGATCGTTCTCTGTTTCTGAAGTTATATATTATATTTTTCTTTTAATCTGGCAATAATGTTGCAAGAGTCTGTGACAAATCTAGACAAAGTGGAATATAGAAGTTTCTACTCAGTGTTATGCTCATATGTATAAAGAATCCCCATAAATGTATTTTCAGTTATGGAAGTATGGAACTATAAGTTGACCAAGGAAATGCTCATACTTGTGAGAATAGTTGCATATTAATAATCTGATAGACCTTTTCTGAAATTCTATATTATACCTATGCTTAAGCAACTTCATATTGGTTAAACATGAAATGTTTGCAACTTACGCGCAAATGGCATGCCCAATTTCATGATAAGCCACGAGGATTTTGCTTTTTCCATCTGTCATCTGGGTTCCCTCCATGCCTGCCACAATTCGATCAATGGAATCATCAATCTCTTTTGCTGTTATCCTCTCTTTGCCCCGTCTGCCACCAAGAATGGCAGCTTCATTCATGAGGTTTGCCAGGTCTGCACCACTGAATCCTGGGGTTCTCATGGCTATGACATTAAGGGAAACATCTTTATCGAGCTTCTTATTGTTGCTATGGACCTTCAGAATTGCTTCTCTTCCCCTTACATCCGGCAATCCAACAGTAACCTGTGTAAGTGTATTCCATTTACTGAACTTAGTAATTAGATCAAGTTATGAATATTGAAATGCAGGTTTTTCTGTCTGTCCACTTGCATATTTGTGTATATTGTGCTTTGCATGTTAATACTGGAGTCAAGGATAAAAGAACTAATATTTTAGTGAACTGAATTGCTGGTCCTGTTCTACCAAAAAAAAAAAAAAAAGGAATTGCTAATCCTGGTGTAACATTGTCAAACTATGTGCATTTTTATTGAGTTACCAATTCAAGACACATTCCAGTAGTTAGTACGTGGATTCAAGTCAATAAATACTGATCTGTTCCTTTAGACATAAATATGACTATGAAGATGTATTGACCAATCATTTTTTTTATTGGAAAAACAGTGTGAAATGAACATCACCACATTGTAAAGCATGACATACCTGTCGATCAAACCTTCCTGGCCTGAGCAAAGCTGAATCAAGAATTTCAGGTCGATTAGTTGCAGCGATGACAATCACCCCGCTATTTCCACTAAAACCATCCATTTCTGTGAGCAATTGGTTCAGTGTTTGCTCTCTTTCATCATTTCCTCCTCCAATGCCTGTTCCTCTCTTCCTTCCAACGGCATCTATCTCATCAATAAAAACCAGGCATGGTGAATTCATCTTTGCCTTGTTGAATAAATCTCTTACTCTTGAAGCCCCCACCCCAACAAACATCTCAATGAACTCTGAGCCAGACAGAGAAAAGAAAGGGACCCCTGCTTCTCCAGCAATGGCCTTAGCCAGCAATGTCTTTCCAGTCCCTGGTGGACCCACTAGCAGAACACCTTTAGGAATTCTTGCTCCAATAGTAGCAAACTTTTCTGGGGTCTTTAAGAATTCCACAACCTCTTGGAAGTCTTGCTTTGCCTCGTCAACTCCAGCTACATCATCAAATGTGACACCAGTGTTGGGTTCCATTTGGAATTTGGCTTTGCTCCTTTTGGAATTGTTTATACATGTAAGTATCTATTATAGTAATAATTTAAGCTAACAAAAATTTCAAGTTTCCATAATTTTATAGATGAAAAAAATAAAATCAGAATAAATTATTATGTTGATCTATTATTTCAGTGGCCGGCAACTGCAGGAAAAGGAAATTTATAGCTATAAGTTGATCAAAATAATACAAGATCTAGGAAATATCTTCATACACTAGCAGGTGAAAATTTGATCAAATGCATCAGGTAGATGCGGTTACTGTGTGTTGAAGGCATAACATATTGTCACTAAATAACTGTATATTTAGACAGTCATATGTGAGAACATTTAATTCATGGGTTTGGTAAACATGGTAGCTTTCACAACTTTTCTAACCCCACTGTGTGTGTGTGTCATCACCAAAGATGTAATTTGGTCATCCCATACCTTCCCAGTCCAAATGGCAAGTTGGGGTCTCCTGAAGAATTTGTAGTTGATCCTCTCAAGAGTAGAGTTCCAAGAAAAATCAATGGGAAGGCAAAATTTGCCAACACATCAAGAATCACAGCTCCCATGTTCATCTCCATAGGGTGAGCAGCAAAATCCACACATCCTTCTCCTTCATTTTCCTAAGCAACTCTTGTGGCAGTCCTGGTAATTGTATTTTCACCCTCTGGATTTTGTCGAGTGCAGGATTCAGGATCTCTGCAATTGCAACAGTCCCATTCTCGAACAGGTCTACTTTCTTCACAGTTCCTGCGTCCAAATACTGCAGAAATCTTGAATATGACATCCTACTCGAAGAAGATTCTAATGGGGTCTCTGGTTCAGCTCTAGCTGGCTGAGCTACAGAAAATCCTTCCGCTACAAGGCCCAAACCAGTGGATTGTAATAGATTTCTTCTATTCAGTTTGATATCTGAAGGGGTTTCGGGACATGGTTTTTCTCTACTGATGATTTTGGAGAGATGGTTATCTTTCCAGAGGTCTTTGGATTTGCATATAAGGTTGGACGCAGATAGAAATAGTACAGATGACATTTCTCTTATTGAACTGTTTGTGGGGTGTAATTTGTATCCGGGAGCTTCTCAAGTTTGAAATGGTGAGTGATCCTTTTATTCTTTTCTTGTACAGACAGTTGAAAGGGGTTAGTCGTTTGTTTTGGAGGGAACCTTGGAGGCATTTAAATAGGGTGAAAGTGGGATATTCTAGCATTTTCATTGGCCTTGGCTTTCAGTTTGTCTTTCTTGCTTTCTTCTTGTTTCATGAAGGATCTAGAGTGGCGTTAATATTTGATATATATAGACGTAGAGTCGTGGGGACAGGACAAGTGGATAAAGATGCCTATGGGAAGAAGATCTCTGTTCTCGTTGCATTGATTCTACTGGCCATACACGTTGACAAATAGGACAGGTCCGTTGGATTCGTCTGGATGAAGATAAAAGCTTGTCTACTGTGTCATAATCAATCTAGAGTTCATTTTTGTTTGGCATGTACAATGAGCTACAAAGCCAATCAAGAGTGAACACGCCAGTGTTCAGTATGTTACATGGGGCCCACACCTGAATTTACTAATTTATTGCTAACACGCCATTTGTCTCGTTTGTAGCCTCATTGTTGGGAAAAAAATCGGACCATAGGTTCCGTCCTCGTAATGGACCCACCTCAATTGTAGAGAGATGGAATTTAACAACTAGTGGGCAGAAACGGGGCCATGTTTGGGATGGGGCATGGCCCAATAAACAACCACACGGGGCCCCAAATTCTTGAGGTTCATGGGCTTTGGTCCAGTTTTAACGATCGGTTGTATCCATCAAATGTGATCCCAATTGCGCGTTTCCAATAACAAGGGTTGCCAATATTGTGGAAACTTCACAAGATCTGAATTGCACGAAGTTATTAGTTTGAATTATTTTTAAATGAAGTTAGGCTCCATCTTTTTGCATTGCAAATCTAAACTAGATGCAGAGTTTGTACCTTGTTCAGATTTACATGCATTTATTTGTAATTATGAGTTATGACCTATACCTTTATTTAACACAAAATTTCCGTTATATATATATATATATATATATATATATTTTTTTGGTCTCATTTGCATAGCAAATTTTGCAAAATTTGTACCAATTTCTTCTTACTTTTCATTCTCTAAGTGGGTAAACAAACAACCTTGCTCTTATGTCTTATCTTCATCCTCTCTCCTATAAGTAGAGGGGACCATATAATTTTGTTTCTCATTTTACTCCTCTCAAACAAACAAACAAAACAAATTACGAAATTTGATTATAAGCTTGTAATCCAAATGTTGGTCCCAATTATCTGGGATTTTGCGAAGGACTGGATATGGACTCAACTCCCAACATTTTTGTTGTACAAAGCTCTCCGACTCGGACCCATGTCTGCATGTTTGTCGACATAAAATTTAACAGAGATAATTAGATTTTATTTAGCCGATGATAGAACTGCTACTAGTTATATTATATATGTTCATCTTAACACCTTTCTTTTGTTGGAACTTTGGAAGTAGCGATATTAATATGTATTCAAGTGTAAGATGCATCTCTCCCCTATACAGCCATACCCTTCCAAATACCATGTACAAAATTGTTTGAGATGTCAAGAAAGAGGCCGGTGGTTTATGCACACCTAGTGGAAATACAAACATATCCTCATAAACAGGGCTCATTCCTAGTGAAAAGGCGATAGTACTTTGTACATTCATACATACATCATGCATAAGTGGAGCTCATGTCTGCTCCCAACAACGCTCCTAACACTCCTCTCAACAAGCCACTATAGGTCTATAGCCACACATTACATCATGAACTTCTCCTTTGCCAGAGATGTTGATCCGGACTTACCTACATATGCTTCCAACCAATTCCCCTATAATAGGCCCCGCTTGTTGAAACACATGCTTGTGTGTGTTCTACTTGTTTTAAAACAAATAAATTTCTTCAAGTAATTTTTTTCCTATTTTTAAAGTAAAATTTTACTTGTGGAATCCCACCTTGATCAGGGTCTGGGGATGAGTTGCACCCCAAAAAAAAAAATGTAGGGGGCGTTCTTTTTTTGGATTTTGAGAGTGGAGAAAGTTGGTCAATAGGATTTTGATTCCCATTGAGGTAAATAACTTTCCCACTTGGGGGGTGGGGGAGAAGTTGCCAATACTTGAATGGGACAAAAATACCATTTTTAATAATGGATTTTTATGGCTAAAATGATCATTGCCTTATTTACATGGGAAATAAAAGAATATGGATAAATGTACTTACCCGGATAAGTAACTTACCGAAAAACGAATGGGACCGTAATATTAAATTGGATAGAAGTTTACCTGATTCAGCAGTCTAAGTAAAAAAAAAAAAGGACTTGTATTCATGTCTCATATATAATCGAAAATTTGGAGGGTGTTATTAATCTAAAAATTTCTGAAAAAATCAAGACAAAATTGATATACGAAAAATTTGATCTAGTTTTGCTATTTAGTTTTAATTTTGTACAATTTCTTTTTCTATCTGAAATGTTTGTGGCATTCGCACAGGGTATAGAATCTCAGCAGAAGGGTATTTAGGGGGCAGTTGGTCAGTGGAAAAAATGCATTTGCTTGGCTTACAGAGTGGGTCCTATGGTAAATATACATTCGCTTGGGTGTCACTTGCCCGGAAAAAAATGATACCTGAGAGGGAAAAATGCTAAAACATCAGCAGCAGCAGACAAAATTACGGTTTGTAAAAATAGAATATATGGGTAAAAATGATAAATTACCTAACTTACCTTGATAAAATTCATGATTAAAAGAACATGGATAATGTAATTATCTGGAAAAATGTCACTTCGGAAGCAATTATCCAGGGAAAAGCACTTACTTGGTAAATAACTTAAGAAGCAATTATATTATCCAATTCCTTCAACTGGAAACTCCAATCATGTTCTTCTCCCAGAGGACTGAATACAGCTCAGGAGGCGGATGCTCAAAATTCAAAAGACTAAACGGTTACTTTGAGAAAGAGGTAAATTGATCAGCACTTCGATTTGCTTCTCTATAGAAATGTTTGATGTACTCCACCGACGTTTGAAACAATGTCTCGGCTTGCTATTTAAAACAATTTCGTCCTTCTAAGGCCATTGACGAAACCTAAAATCTAAGTCAATGCCATATTTTCTTTTTATGAACGCACAGGCTGATTCTATTGTAACTATTATATGTAAACCTTATTATAAGACTTGCAGTTGGTTTACAAGACATCAAAATCAGGACTACGGGACCGTCCTACCAGACAAAAGAACCTCTTAATTTGGTGAAGAGCACATTTGACTAGGATACGTGCAGCACCATTACAAGTCTTAATTAGTAACTGGGAACATGATGAATTGTAAGAGATTGAAGAGAGTTGATTAGGGCCTGTTTGACAGGAGTATGGATGAGCTAGCTACACGATCAAGAGTGCTTCATTGGGTTTCAATGGGTCGGTTTTGGATTGGACCCCGTCCAGTCCAAAATCAAATTGGACGGACCAACAAGACATATTGGATTGGACCAACCGGTCCAAAATATTTATTTGATTGGAGTGGACCTGATCCGTCCGTAATAAATTTATATTGGATTGGGTTTGATTAAGCCAATATCTGGTCCATTGGTATAAGATAATAATATATGTGCCAATGGACCAGGTTTGGGTTGAAACCAATCTAAATCAAAATGAATTTGAATAGATTGGACGGTCAAGACATTGAATTGGACTGGTCCAAATTGGTCTAAAATATTCATTGGATTGGATCGGACCTGATCCATTTATAATGGACTCACATTGGACTGGATCGGATTGGACCAAATCCAGTCCAATTGACACCCCTAGTTCCATAGCCCCTTGTACACATCTTTTTGTAACCTAGCTATACCTAGAGGAGGGCCAGGGTGCAATTTGGGCGGGCTTTGGTCGAGATTTTGTTAAAATTTGAATAGGGTCCACCTCTATCCATTTGTTATAATCTGATTTGATTCTATCTGAATGTATATATTTATATTTTGTATTAATAAGTAAAGTTGATTTGAATGTATATATTTAAAGTTTCGTACAAGTAATTTTTAATTCATTTTGTTTATAAAATATAATATTAAGGTTATTGTTTTATTCATTTTATTAATAATGTATAATATTTTGATAAATTTTATTCTATTCAATTAATACCTGATTATGATATAAATTTGATGGATATTGATGATGCACATTTTGGCAACTCCCGTCTGGCTAGTGACTCAGATGCTTGGTTGAATAATCCCTACTTGGAAGGTGGTTTGGATGCCTAGCTGAATGGTTCCTATCTGGAATGTCGCTTGGACGCCTAGCTAAATGGTGACGAGTTGGAGAGGTGGTTTTGATGCCTAACTGAGGGGTGATGAGCTAGAGAGGTGGCTCTGAAGCCTAGCTGAATGGTGATGAGCTGGAGAGGAGGCTCTAATGCCTAACTGAGTGGTGACGAGCTGGAGAGGTGGCTCTGATGCCTAATTGAGTGGTGACGAGTTTGAGAGGTGGCTCTAATGCAACTTGCAAGGAAACAGTGTTAGAGTGCCCGGGTTGCATTACTTGGGGTGGGCACTCTGATGCTTAAGTTAGCGAATCAGAGATTTTAAGATAGCTAAATTTGAGAGAGTTGGAGAGCTGCAAGAACTAAAAATTGTGCATCTACCTAAGTCTCATGGGGTTGATGCCCTTATATAGTTGGGTTTCCGTAGGTCTTGCGAAACGCTCCCGGAATCCTCGGCCCACGACGTAGGGGTCCATTCCACTTTGGAAGGAGAATAACGTGCCAGTTAGTAAGGTTTACCGTTTCCCTCTGATTCAGGCGAGATGAGGATAAGGCCTACGGTTACGTTGCATGATCCCAAAAGGTTGAGACAACTGGCAAGCTTCTAGAGAGGTAGGTCGCCAGATCGGCGGCAGAGGCAGGGCGCTAAGTCGGCAGTAGAAGTAGGCCGCCAAGTTGGTGGCAAAGGCAGGTCGCCAGCTGGGACCCTATTTTGGCTAAGCCAAGTTGTCGCCTAGGTGATGCTGGGACGTAGTCCAGCTATTTTGATATGCCATTTTCATGATGTCAGTGGAGGGCCAAATTTGCCCTCATCAATTGCCCCCCCACTCCCGAGTTGAGATCAGCTCAATGAAGGGAGTAGATTTGTACTTCGTTGTAGGTCCTTTGGCCTGTTACCAACATATTTCGAGGTCGACTTAGGGGTCCTTGATGCTGAAAGCAGTTTGGCTTCCCCTTGTGATATGCGCGTCGATGTTGGAATTTAAATAGCGGGTCGGTGTCACAGCTGCATTGTGTCAGTCCTCTGAGGTGCTGGTCGTCTACTCTACGATAAGCCACAAGGAGCTCAACCTGCAGGGGCAGCTTTACTAACTGCAGGTTGCCCGCTCGCATGGGAACCTTGAAAGGCTCAACCCGCAAGGGCGACTACAGTCCGTTGGCCACCGACTCTCGTGGGAGCCACGGAGGGCTCGAATTGTAGGGGCAACCTCACGAATAGGGCTGACAAGGCTCGTCCGGGTTGATTACGTGTGTCGCTAGGTCAACGGAGGTAGGTCGCCATCTCGATGACAGAGGCAAATTGCTAGGTCGGTGGAAGTAGGTTGCCAGGTTAGCGGCGGACGCAGGTTGCCTTGTCAGTGGTACAAGCATGTCGCTAAGTCAGCAGAGGTAGGTTGCCAGGTTAGCGGCGGACGCAGGTTGCCTTGTCAGTGGTACAAGCATGTCGCTAAGTCAGCAGAGGTAGGTTGCCAGGTTAGCGGAAGTAGGTCACTAGGTCGGCGGGGGTAGGTCGCCAGGTTGGAGGCAGGTCTCCAAGTTGCCAAGTCGGCGGAATTTTGACAGTCCAATTTTGCTCTTAGCACCTCGGCTTATGGTCATCTTGTCACCTCGACAGGACTGACCTGCGAGGGCGACTCCACAACCAGCTGGCCATCAACTCCCACGTAAAGCATGGAGGGCTCGATCCGTGGTGCAACCTCACAATTTGTTGGCTATCAACTCCCACGGGAATCACAGAGGGCTCGACCTGTGGGGTGGCCTCACATTTAGTTGGCCGTCAACTCTTGTAGGTAGCACGTAGGGCTTGACATATGATGGTGGCCTCATAGTTAGGGAGATTTTGTTCGGGCAAGACTGCGAGAACTCATTTGGGTTAATCATTTTGCTTTTGCCCCCCTAGGGGTTCTTTTGATCAAGCGTTGTTATTGTTGCTTGAAGATGTTATTACTTGAGGCTCAGAGAATCGGGTGAGAACATAGCCTTTTGTAGCATTTCCCACAGATGGCGCCAGATGATGATGCACATTTTGGCAGCTCCTAGCTGGCTAGTGACTCAAATGCCTAGCTGAATAATCCCTACCTGAAAGGTGGCTTAGATGCCTAGCTGAATGGTTCCTACCTGGAATGTGGCTTGGACGCCTAGCTAAATGGTGACAAGCTGGAGAGGTGGCTCTGATGCCTAGCTGAATGGTGACGACCTGGAGAGGTGTTGCGCATCTACCTGGGTCTCAGGGATTGATGCCCTTATATAGCTGGACTGCCGTGGGTCTCGCGAAACGCTCCCGGAATCCTCGGCCCACAACGTAGGGGTTCGTTCCGCTTTGGAAGGAGGGTAATGTGCTAGTTAATAAGGCTTACTGTTTCCCTCTGATTCGGGTGGGATGAGGATAAGGCCTACGGTTACGCGGCGTGATCCCGAAAGGTCGGCGACAAAGGCAGGTTGCTAGGTCGGTAGTAGAAGTAGGTCGCTAGGTCGACGGTAGAGGAAGGTCGCCAGGTCGGCGGCAGTGGCAGGTCGCCAGTTGGGACCCCATTTTGGATTAGTCATGTTGTCGCCTAGGTGATGCTGGGATGTTGCCCAACTGTTTTGATATGCCATGTGTTATGATGTCAGTGGAGGGTCAAATCTGCCCTCATCAGATATGATTTGGTTCAAATTCCAAGATAAACAAATTAAATTTGGATCTACCTATATCTAATTGCATTTCAAAGTGTAAAATCATCAAACCATGTATATGAGTTGCATCCCTTTTACCTAAAGCACTAGGCCCTTGATGTAACTTGTAAAATAGAGTTTGTTTGTTTCCTCAAAACGTGGGATTACTCAAGGCTCTGTTTGGAAATAATATAAATACAAATACGTAGTGTAAAACCTTATATAACAGGGAAATTGTCTAAAACTCACCATGAGTTTTCAGCATTTCTCTTAAACTCACCACAACTTTTCAAAATGTCTAAAACTCACCATGTCACTAATTTGATGTTAAACAGACTAACGAGTGTTAATATATTACTATTTTAACTTCATAAAAAATATAAAATATATACAAAATAAATTAACGGGTGTTAATATACTACTATTTTAATATTTAAACATGAAAAAAGGAAAAAGTTCAAAAAAATATTTTCAAATATAAAATACATAAAAACATAGAAATTACAAAAAATATAGAAATTGCAAATAAAATAAAAAATTATTTCAAATTATAGAAACTATAGAAATTGAAAAACAAAAATTGTAGAAAAAACACTAAAAATTATAGAAAAACACAGAAATTGTAAATAAATAACAAAAATACAGGAAAATTTATAGATTGTTGAAAATAGAAAAATGTAAAAAAACAGAAATTATAAAAAACATTGGAAATTGTTATGAAAATTGTTATTTATGCTGACATGGACACCTCTGTTAAGAAGCCTTAACGGTGCACTACGGAGGGTGAGTTTTAGAAAATAAAAGCTTAGTGACATGGTGAGTTTTAGACATTTTGAAAAGTTGTAGTGAATTTAAGAGAAATGTTGAAAACTCATGATCCCTATATAATATATTTCTAAACCTATTCGTAATGAATAAATTGTATTTGCATTCTTCATAAATTGAACCTAAGAAAAACCAACAAGAATGAGAAATAAATAAGACAAATACAAAAGTGGCAAGTTAATGAATGACAGCCTGAGTATAGACTAAACTGACTGACTTATTGCTTGGTCTTTTTGAGAATGATTTATTATGGAAGTTTTGAGCTCCTTCATGGCATTAATACAATGAGTATACTTCTGCCTATAAGTATAGCCATTCAGGCACAGTACAAGCATCACCAAAACTACTGAAAAAACACAGAGAGAGAGAGATGAAGGCCATTTATTCATTGCTCATTGGGATTCTTGTATCACAACATTTGGCAGCTATATGTGTCTCAGAGGGTTTTGATTTCTTCTATTTTGTTCAGCAGGTAGCTACTAACTAGTCATTTATTTCTCTTGCATTTTGGTCTGAGATCATCTCGATCGGTTGTTTTCAAATTCAAACTTTTTTTCTTATTCATTGTTTTTTAGTGGCCAGGGTCGTTCTGTGATACAAGGACAGGTTGTTGCTATCCCCAGACAGGAAAACCAGCATCTGATTTTAGTATTCATGGCCTTTGGCCCAATTACAACAATGGATCTTACCCATCCAACTGTGATTACCGGAACCCTTTTAATCCACGGATGGTATCTTCTTCTTCTTCTTCTTAAATTAGCTTTCCGATAAGCTTTTTTAATGGCTTATTCAAAGTAGCTTAATGAAAGCAGTTCAATCAAAGCTTCAACCCTTCCCAAATGAACCCCAAGTTATAACAAGCATGTAATTAATCTATGAATTAAATGAAAAAAAATTGAGAAGGTTTTGATTTAAAATACAAGGAACCTGTGATAATGCATCGAGTGGTTGAACTGAATTATTGATTGTTATTGGATGAAATAATTGAACAATAACTTATTTGAGGATATAGATATCAATCTGGGTCTGGATCTCCTACACTTCCTTTCGTCTGTGACAGCTAGATGTCCAAACGGATATTTACACACATTCATTTAAGAGGGCATTTGTCACATGCTGAATGGAACTGTGAGAAGAAATGTAGGAAATTCCTAACCAACCAGTCCATCTTTAATTAGATTCAGCCATTAACGAACTCACAACCTTTTTAATAAATTTTTATGACAACAACTACTGTAGGCTGTCTTTGGTTTGATGGAAAATAAAAGAGAAAGAGAAGTTAAAAACTTTCTCTGAATTATCTGTCAAACCAAACATGACCTTAATGCTCAGTTTGGGAAGAATGATACAAATATGTTTGGTGCATTCTTCCCAAACTGAGCCATAGGAGCCTTAATTTGCAAATAAACTTTTTTTAGCAAGTGAAGGGATCATCCAATTAATTATTAATTGGATCGGTTCATTTGGAAAGTCTACATGCATCTTCCATCATCCCGTTAATTGCTAACTAATTTCCTTGCAATTTGTATTAACTTCTTGGTGCAGATATCGGATCTAAGGATTAGACTTGAGAAGACATGGCCATCGCTTGCCTGTCCGAGAAGTGAAATGCTGAGGTTCTGGTCTCATGAATGGATTAAACATGGAACCTGTTCAGAGTCTATCCTTAATCAACGTGCATACTTTATAACAGCTCTCAACCTAAGGAATAAAGTCAACCTCCTTCAAATCCTTGTAAATGCAGGTATTGCGGAAGGACTACACTCCTTTAATTTGTTTTTCATCGATCATATATACCATGGATAATTAGTTAATTGTTTATACTCTGTTGTTGTTAGCCCAACACATTCGAGCCGCTCAAAACTGGTTCGGAAACTGATCTGGTCTATTCGTATTATTTCCTTTTAATGCCAGTAATGACTAGTACTAATTAAGTGACAAAATTGTTGCAGGAATCAAACCAGATGGAAGATTGTACAGCTTGGGCGTTATCAAGGAAGCCATAACAAAAGCAACTGGATATACTCCCGGAATAGTGTGTAATTTGGACCGGAGTGGTAGTAGTCAGCTCTACCAGATTTTCTTGTGTGTGGATACTTCTGGCTCTAAATTCATTGAGTGCCCAGTCTTCCCGAGACAAATGTGTGGTTCGAGTATCAAATTTCCCTCATTCGGGGCCTCTACTCAACTGTAACTCGATCACCTTAATTTGTCAATAATTCTCACCATGGTTGGTGAAGCATAATAAGACCTTCATTTTTGGTCTCCAATGTGTATACAATTAATACTAGCACAAATGCAAATATATACAGTATAAATACATATAAAATACAAGATTATACACTTTACATACTCTTTCCAAACTGAGCCTATTGGGCTAACAAAAACCTGGTGTTCCCCTAGATGAGCCTGTACTTGTCCATGCATCAAGCCTGATGACAGTAGATGTTAAAGCCACCTCATCCTAACGGTTGGGGGCAGATCAAAAAGTACAAAACTTTTCAGAGTCAAGGAGGCGTGGCCCTATTTGTCTGAGTCTGGATCTAGTCCCAACACAATCATCCCAATTGTGCCACCTGTCGTACAACCCAATGTGTGGAATTAAACGACTCCAGATCTCCTGCCCATGCCTATCGACAATACACCACCCCTGTGAATTGGGAACATCTCCCCCTCCATAATACTATGCAGAGGATGAGATGTTCTCCATGTGTGGCTGCGTGGGCAGAATTCTCATGGAAAAGAGATCTGGACTCGCATAAAACACTCTACTCCTTTCTTTTGCGTTCATTCTTCTTGCTCCAATTCCTAGGTCTAATGGTTCAACCGTTCAATCCAGTCCTGGTCTTAAAACATTGGTTGGGAACATTCGTCTTTTCTGTTGGGTTGACCTATTTGGGCCAGATGATTAAATATCACCTAGATATAAGAACAATTTTGTTTTTTGGGTTAGTTTTAAAAGTGATGTAATCGTTTTTGGTCACGTACCATTTTTTGGGATGTGTAAAATTTTTTGGCTAAGTACCTCGTGTTTGACCTGGTGGTGACGTGCCTTGGTGATGAGCTACTTGGTGGCGAACTTCCCGGGGGAGAACTGCCTGGTGG